ATAGTTTGTTGTTAGCTGAAGGCTGCTAAATTTGTGTAGTTTTTGACTGGTGTGAAGCCCTGAATAAGGTTTCTTAGGGCTTAAAACATCTTATTTGGTTGAGAACCTGTCTTGGATGCATTAATGTAAATGTTTCTAGTACTTCAAGATGCAATAAGAGAGTACACATCAAAAAAGAAAAAAAGTTCCAGTTGTTTTACTGTGGAATCTCGAAAAAACAGTGTCTTTAATAATTGAAACAACTTTATTGATTAATGTGTTTGGACTCATGGCATTCAGCAGACTCATTATACAATGTTTAACATTCAGCAGTTAAATTAATACGTTTTAAAATGAATGCAAATTCTAAAGTTTCTCTTATGTCTGATGTTGTAACCAATTCTCTTCCTTTCCCTTTTGGCCAGACTGTTGCCTGTTTAGCATATAAGAACAGAGATAGTCACACATGCATGCAGCTACTCAGTGTTTACACAGACTGAACGAGAAACTAATCAAACTTTGTTTTACTTTAGTCAAACTGCCAATTATTTTGTTTTCCAAGACTGCTAGCCTACACATACACATACATCTGTACATGAGATTATGAAGCAGCACAGCAGAGGACCCCAGCATGTATCGACAGCAGACTGGCACTGCTCCAGCAAGGGCCCTTCAACAGAAATGTTATGCTACCTGAAGCTCATGTAAACTGCTTTTTCTATATTTCCACCATAGATAGGCAGTATACATGGGGATGCTTTAAACAGTGTTATTTTGACAGATACAGAGCACATGAAAAGATTTTGAATAAGCATGTTAGCCTGCAAATATTGCTTAATTGTATATATGTGTTATGAATCTCTTGTCTTTGTATACTGTATGAGAGACAAGATAAAATGAATCTGCCTGTGGTAATCTGCCAACTATGCTAAAACATTTGTCAGAACAAGAACAGCCAGGAGCTGAAAGACTTCAGAGAACCTTCCTGTATTGTTTTTAAAACAGTTTGAGTTTGATGCAGATTTCAACACTGCAGAAAGCACTAAGCTATCATGCTCCTGTTGACAGGCAGAGGTTGACGAGGGGTTAAAAAATAGAAAAAGCTGCAGAAACTGTTCCTGTCTACGCTGGGAGTCATGGGGGTGATGCTGAAATGTGAGCTAGCAAGCTGAGGCCAAACATGTGGCTGCAGGTGTTAGCATGTAGCACGTGTGTGTGTGTGTGTGTGTGTGTGTGACCTGCCCTCTCAGCAATATCCTGGAGCTTCTCTCCAGCACTTCTGGATGCTAACATGAAACTCTTTGTCAGGTTCAGTTGAAGTTTCTTGACAGCAGAGTCCCGGTGCCACATGTCAGACTTCAGTGTCACAAAACGATCTGGCATCGGCCGACACGTTAGAAACTATATTTTCACTCCAACAAAGAAAATCAATTCAGTTTTATTTGGTCAGATTTTAGGTTGCAAACTATTCTGAACATTTATTTTAATATGAACCAGATAACAGCACAAATAGTTGCCTTCCTTTGAATGTGCTGTGTGGGATGAGAATAGCTATTTACCGGTGCAGACAGAACAAATGGTCCTGATTTGTGGGACTCATTATGTTTGATACCGAATGCATTAAAGTCAAATAGAATCCATTATATATTTGGTGTCGTTAGTTGGGCTGTAATCCATCCTGATATCCATCACCATCTTCTGGTTGGTCATTAAAGGATTAAATTTTATTTCAACCTTAGGTGAGTAAACAATTGGTTTGGGGGGGGGGGGCTCTGACATATGGTATTGTCAAAGAACACTCAAAGCTCTGTTTCGTGTCATACGGAGTAAAACATATAAGCTGTTTTCAATTTATCGCAGTATGGCCCCTGTTTAAAATAAAAATGCTGTTTAAATCAACACACACACACACACACACACACACACACACACACACACACACACACACACACACACACACACACACACACACACACACACACACACATTGAATGTAGTGTCTTTTAAGGAAAATGATTCATGCCTTCAGCTGCAACATTTTCTGAAAGCATCAATGATTGACTCTGCTTTAATGACAACCGTTCATGTTTAAAACTGTCTCTGGTATTAATTAGCTAAGCTTTCAATTTAACCATGTTGCAATAGGGATCTAATGTTTGTCTTTATATTTAATATAAAACTGAGACATGTTTCTTTAACATCTTCTACCTTCATTAATGCAACACAAAGGTAAACTGATGCACATTTGAATTGGTTGTATTTGCTTCTTTCGGCTGTTAACATTTTTTGCATAGTAAAATAAAGATAGTCCAAAGGCCATTTTAATAAATCACCAAGATAATCACAGCAATAACTCACTATGAAAGAGTGTGTGTGTTTTAGTTTGCTCATCTCTTAAGCAGAGCCAAGGCAGCTTAATTCCTACATTTTAAATTACATGGACTTGTTATGTCCACATAGAGATGCAATGTTTCTGAAGACAAAATCCCCTTTCCCCTTGTAATTAGTGCATTTGCGATTTCTCCATGCATCTTCATGAAAATCCAGTTAATCCATTTCACTGAAAATGAGATCAAGTTGACATTTGATGTTTGAGCAAAGATTACAGTATGACTTTTGCAGTCAGGCACTTTATTTGCTGCAGTAGTGCGACAAAATGTCCTTGAAATGGAGCCTTACTCTGATGGGGTTCTTAGTTTCTTTAAATGTTTTTACAACTCCAACTATCAGCAGCTGCTGTAATATGAATAGGCTTCTCAAACTGAATGGAGATAACATCCAACATACCTGACACCCTCCATTGAAGCCACCAGCGCCAGTCTACCTGGAGACAGAAAACTGTGCTTTAGAACTGTTTTCCAATCCCACATAAACTGTGTGAAAAATAAGGACACTGGTATTCATAAACATCGTTTATCTCCCTTTTCCAAATTTATTTAAACACCTAAAAATCTGAGTGGTCAAACAATGCTGTCAAATAATAATGATAATATTTATATTATTACTGGCAAGAAACCAGGAATGTGGGCATATGACAGTTCTTGTCAAAGAAATTTTTATCTTACAACTCATCTTGTTCTGTCTAAATGACTCTCAATTTTGAACTTATGACGTAAAAACAAAAATCATAGTCAGCTGAACTCACAATTACCTTGCATAGTGAAAAAATGATTTATTACAACAGCAACACAGTCTGAAGGTAGGCTGGGGTGTGCATCCACTAACCTGTTAGCTGACATATTTACATTAAAATGAAGATGTTTGTGGTTACATTTTCAATTCAATTCAGTTTATTTACATAGCTTCAATTCACAACAAGAGTCATCTCAAGGCACTTCACAAAGTAAACATTCCAGTACAGTCCAGCTCATTAAGCCAATCAGTAAAAAGTTTCCTATAAAAGGAACCCAGCAGGTTGCATCGAGTAACTGACTAGTGTAAGAGGATCTTGGATCAGTATACGCAGCCATCCACCATGACTCACTGGGGATTAAAAAACAGAGCAGACACACACACAACATATATATCAAGCAGTATTTCTATGGCTACATTGTGATTTCTTAGAAGATGCTCTATTTAGTACAAGATCAGTTTTATTGTCTTTATCCTAGTGAATCTATAATTAATTTCACAGGTGAACTAGTAGTAGCACATTCAGTTTCAAAGAGAGCAAAATGTTATTATCAGGAGAAGGAGAACGTTAAGTGGTTAGCAGCAGTGTTCAAGCTGTGGCCCCCACCGTGAGGCTACCACAGCTCAGCAGAACACCATCGTAGCTTCTTCTGGGGAGAAAAACACAGTGAGAACAAAAAGTTAACAGCTGAAATAGCGGGAAATAATGCAACAAGAGTGTAGTGGTAAAAGAAAGTAGTAGAGTTGAAAGTAGTCAGTGTGTCCTCCAGCAGTCTAAGCCTATAGCAGTATAACTACAGAGATAACTCTGGATAACCTAGCCTTTTTACCATTAAGGATAGGATAGTTTTATATGTCATTGAACCAGTGTTCCGAATTGTAGTTTCAGTACAATTCAAAGATCAGACATACAGCACATAAAGCACGTAGACAGGAAACAGATACATAAAGGTGGGTAACACAAGGGTGGGCAGGGATGAGGAAGAAAAATAAACTAAACATATAAAGTCTTACTAGATTTCCCTCTATATTCTTGTGAGTTCTGCTGTTTTTTCAGTGACAAGTTCAGGGACTATTGTCGCTATTAGCGTCAAACCAATTATGGCCCTAAAGTGGTCAGATGGAGTATTAGTTGATGAACAAGGGACGATCTATTAACAAAATACCTGACAACAAACTGAAGTCTAAATAAATAAATAAATAACCATTAAATATTTCCAAAATACTGATACTGTAACGGTCTTAGCCATCTACCATTAAATTAAATAAGTAATGCCCTTTTTCAGATTTCATGCCAGACCGTGTCTCTTTTGTAGGACGGTGTGAATACAGCAGTTTGGTGACTCATTCCAGCAGTTAGTGACACAGACAGTCAGCACACAAGATGACCGTTTGCTTTTGGATCAGGGTTGAACCTCCTACATGATATCAACTCACCCACATTCAAATCTCCACTCATACCTCTGCCAAAGTAAAAACTTAGGAGTGATAATTCTGAACAGCATTTATTTCTAGTGTTTGCTCTTCGGAGGAATAATTATGACAGAGGGATATGGCTGCCACCTGCCTGGAATGGCTTGGAGGCACTTTGCTGGTCCTGGAACATCGTGTTGCTTTACCTGTTCTACAGTTTTTTTTTCCTTCAAGGGGCACGTTGGAACTAGTGAGATACACCACACTCCCCTCCTCTACCGTTGTGGTAGTGTGTACTCTGTACACATACTAGTGTGGGTATTAGTTGTGAGTACAAGTGTATTATGTGTTCTTGTGCAGATGCATAAGTTGATACACATGTGTGTAAAAGACTCCATTGTCTTTCCCTTCAATGGCTCTTTTGTTTTTGATTTATAGCACATTGCATTAATCCCTGTTCTGTTCTCTCCTCACAGATGTGGGACTAGACATGGAGGTACTAAAGATGACAATCTCAGGAGCAGCACTCCTGTTATTAGTCACGTTCCTCCTCCATGTGGCTTGGTGTCACAAATCAATGGGAAAAGAAAAATATGAGTCTTCATTAAGCTTCACACACTATCTCTACAATGTTACCATCAATGAAAATTCTGCCCCACGAATGTATGTGGAGACGCCGGTGAAGATGGGCATTCAGCTAACTGATCCGCTGTGGGACATTAGTTATAACATCGTTGCAGGAGATGACGAAGAGTTTTTCCAAGCGGAAGCGCTCTCAGTTGGCGATTTCTGCTTCCTCAGGATTAAAACCCGCAGTAGCAACTCAGCTCTTCTCAACAGGGAGGTCAGAGATAGGTACACTCTCACTTTGGAGGCAAAAGAAAGCACATTTGATCTCCAGGCCAAGACAAAGGTAATTGTTCAGGTGCTTGACACCAACGACTTGAAACCACTGTTCTACCCTGCATCGTACAACGTGAACATTGGAGAGGATACTCCACTCAAGTCAAGTGTGGTCACAGTGAGTGCTACAGATGCTGATATTGGGAGCAATGCTGAGTTTTATTACTCATTTACCAGTAGAGCTCATCCTTTTGCCGTTGACCCTTTCACAGGCACAGTCAGCCTTGTCAAAAAGCTTAATCACACTACGACACAGAAATACGACCTCACCATTTTAGCAGAGGACCGGACCAAAAAAATCTCTGGTGTTCAGAAATTTGGTAATTCTGCTCGTGTTGTAGTAAACATACAAAAGATGTCCAAAGAATCTCCAGTTATTACGCCTCCTCCCAAACCTGTGGTGTCTACAGATGGGAACATAGACATTAATGTCCATGTAGAAGAGGGAATAAAGCCTGTAGAATCCCTTGATATTATTGCTGGGGATTCCCACAACAATTTTGAGATAATTCCCTTAGGTGTGCAGGGCAAAGACTTCCAAGTGATATCTACTAAGAGGATTGTATGGTCTGAAAATCCATTTGGACTTAATCTATCCCTTCAAGCTAAAGATAGAATCAATTCAGTTTCTCCAGTTGCTCAAGTCCACATTCCGGCTAACCTTTACACACCTTTGGTATTTTTAGAGGACACTTACATCGTCACTCTGAGTGAGTTTTCACCCCCTAAATCTCATGTAGTTAAAGTATCTGTGACCTCCTTTTACCATGATGTCACCTTTAGCATCAAAAACAATCCAGACAGTTCCAGTTTCAAAATAAATCCCAAATCTGGGATTATCATAACAACAGAGAAATTTGACTATGAAAGAAAAGATCGGTATGAATTTGATGTTGTTGCTAATCACGGCGATGCCGAGACGCATGTGGTCGTGGAGATAACGGATGAAAATGACAATAGCCCACAGTTCAAACAGACATCCTATCGGGCAACGGTGGATGAAAACACCCCTGTCGGAAGCAGTGTTCTCAAAGTCTTTGCTTTTGATATTGACAAAGGCAAAAATGGCTACGTGACTTATGCCATTGCAAATCCAGACCTTGTACCTTTCATAATAGATCCGTTCACAGGTGTTATCTCAACTTCTGAGCACTTGGACTATGAGATGATGTTACGGCTGTATCACCTGAAGGTTTGGGCCTCGGACAGTGGAAGTCCCTTTAGTCAGGTCAGTGAATGCCCTGTGACGATAAACCTAAACAACCTGAATGATAACGTTCCTCTGTTTGAAAGGGTGGACTGCAACATCACCATACCACCAGATTTACATGTGGGACACACAATAGTTGAGCTGTCAGCCACTGATTTAGATGAGTTGCAGCAGCTGAAATATGTCATAGAGTCAGGAAATGAGCTCCAGGTCTTTGTCGTTGATGCTGGTACCGGAGCTATTGCTCTTAAACAGCCCATTCCTCCACAAGAGGGCTCGTTTACTTTAAGAGTTGTAGCCACAGATGGCAAACATCACTCAGAGGCCTCCGTTGTCAGAATAACTGTAACAAACAAAGGCGATGATGCAACACTAAGCTGCTTCGAAATGGGCATTTCCCAAAAACAGACCGATAAACTTATAGAATCAATGAAGTCAGCTTTAATTAATCAGGAAGAGGAATCATTCTCAGATGTCCACATTACTAACAGACATTCCCCCAAGTTTGTTACGAGCATTCCCAGTTCTATAGATGTTGCTGAAAATCACCCACTACATTCCACTATCCTTCAGTTCAAAGCCACGGACCTTGACTCTGGGTTTAACGGTGAGCTGGTGTTTGCCATATCAAGTGGGAATGAAGATGGCTGTTTCTCCATTGACATTTTTTCTGGCAACCTTTACTTAGTTTGCCCTCTGGACAGGGAGAGTAAAGAGTTCTACATTCTGAACATCACAGTTTACGACTTGGGAACACCACAAACTTCTGCTTGGAAATTTATAGCTGTCAGTGTCATTGATGTGAATGACAACCCACCTGTTTTTGATCAGCCCAGGTACGTGATCCGCATGCCTGAAAACAAGAATAAAGACTCTGTTATTTTTACAGCACGAGCTGTAGATTTGGACACTGAAGTTAACGGGAACATCCAATACTCCCTGCTGACGTCATCTGACATGTTCAAAATTGATGAGCTGACCGGAGAGGTGATTGTGACAGGTCATTTAGATCGAGAAGCTTCCCCAAAGTGTGACCTTTGGATCAAAGCCAGAGACCAGCCCAAACTTGGTCCTCAGTTATTTTCCACTATCCGCCTAGTGGTAGTTTTGCTGGACATAAATGACAACCCACCCAAGTTTGAACCCAAAGGGTATCACATAAAAGTTCCTGAAGATGTTCCTGTGGGAGCACTGCTTGTCTGGGTGGAGAGCATAGACTTAGACTCAGGAAGTGGTGGTCTTGTCACTTACAACCTTCAGAACACAGAAGGTGGGATCTTTCATCTTGATTCCTCCACTGGAGCTTTGACCCTGGAGCGAGAGCTGGATTTTGAGCGACGGCCAACCTACAACCTCACAATTCGAGCTGTTGACCATGGCCTCCCTCGCTCACTCTCGTCTTCTTGCTATGTGGAGATCGAGGTTCTGGACGTCAATGAGAACCTCCACAAGCCCGTGTTCACAGAGTTTGTGTATGAGACTGGAGTGATGGAGGACGCAGCAGTGGGAACATCTGTGGTAATGCTCACAGCTTCAGACAAAGACCTCGGCAGAGATGGAGTCGTCAGATACCACATCAGTGATGGCTCTGGTGTGGGAGTGTTCTCCATTGATGAAGAAACAGGTAAAAACGTTTTTCTTTAGTAGAAAACCTGTAGAACATAGCTAAAACTATCCCCCCCCCTCCCCCAAAAGTTTTTACAACAATAAAAAAATTGATAATAGAAAATGTTTATTTATTTGTTTATTTTGTTTATTTAGTCAGATTTTAAAATAACGACTAATCAGTGCTTGTTTTAAATATATAATTATCTCTTTCTTAGTTGGGTATATTAATGACGAAAAGAAAGATCACAAATATTATGATAATTAAACAGTGAATGGCTTTTAGAGAGCTAAAGAAAACAAAACAAATACAGTCACCTAATGTCTATTGATAATTTTGGACCATTTAGAAAGTTGGCCCATGTGCTGTAACTCATATAAAAGTCTGCATGTTAATGCATTTTCAGGTGTGAATTTAGATGACAGCTCATCAGCCTGTGGATCTCCAGGTTGCTGCTTGCCTTCACGTTGATCATGTGACATGACTGAAATCTTTAGAACAACATCTTAGTGGAGTTTGCTATGAGAATGTTATGAGGCAGCTATTTTAGTGATAAAGTATAAAAAACATGTATGAGCACTAATTCACCCTAAGGTCAAAGGTCAGAATCAGCCAAACCATTAGGAACGCTAAATGCAAATGTCTGGGTATTCAGCTTAAACATGTTACAATGCCATTGTAAATAATGTTTTGCATATGAAGTGTTCCTTCTGCAGCTCGGGCAGCCGGACAACCTAAAGGATTGTTACAGCATAGCATTTCCTCAGGTTTTCTCGCAGCTTCTAAGGCATGTCTGGTTGCACAACCTTATATTTCCTCTTGGGTGGTTGATGCATTTTTCCATCGGTCTAGCAGTTGTGGAGGATACTCCACGACCCGGCAGCATATTGTCTCGCATTCCATTAGCCTGCTGCTGCACTCAGGGCTCCGATAAAATCTGAGCAAATGGAGTTCTCTGTCATGATGGAACTGGGCTGAAATATAACCTCTCCTCCGTGCTGCTGATTTTTGAGTTTCCCCCCAGGGGAACCAAAATTAAACGGCCTCTAAAGGCAAGTCTAAGCTGTAACATTAGTTTTCTTTGTTTACAATTTTTCTCTCCTCTCAAACAGCCTTTGATGGACAAGTGAGAAGTTTTCTGCAGGACAAATTTGTCCCTGAAGTTGCTGAACTAGGAGTAACCATGTTACTCAGAAAGTTTACACACATGCTAGTTTTTAACTAAGTGTGTTATTGTCTCTCCGTGTTTCTCAGGTGTGGTTCGGACCACAGAAGGATTGGATCGAGAGAAAGTGCAGCACTACTGGCTTTCTGTCTACGCCACTGATTTAGGGACTGAGCCTCTGATCTCCTGGACTCATGTCTTTGTGGAGGTCCTGGATGTCAATGACAATCCTCCAGAGCTCTCCCAGCCAGTGTACTTTGCATCTGTTCCAGAGAACGTGAAGAAAGTGAACTCCATTGTTCAGGTTTTGGCCTCAGATAAGGACACGTCATCCGAGGACAAGCTTTCCTTTCAGATGCAGGAAATTCACAAAACTTTCTTCGATGTGGATCCCAAAACAGGTAAAGAAACTTTTGTACAGTTGGGAAAAACTGTTTTATTAATACAATTAACTTTCAAAAGGTTTCAATTCAATTCAATTAAAAATACTTTATTAATCCCAGAGGGAAATTGATTTCACATGAATATAAAGTTACCTTTTCATGAGTGAGGTAAATTGTTGCTATGAAAGATTGTGTGAGTTAAAATAACAGCGTTAAAGTCACCTGGGTGGTCTCGGTTAGCCGTCAAAACCCCAAAATTTTAACAATAAGTCTGTGTCAATAACTGGCCATTTACTGACACTCTGACCTTTACTAAACACTGGAGGCAAACACAAATTCTATGGAGTGGGATTATGGTGATGTTTATGGTGCAGCCAGCAGACTTTTGCCACTGAAGGGAACTCAAGTCTGTGAATCTCGCTAATTGATTAGTTGTTTGTTTTCTTTCTTTTTTTTTTTGTTAAAAATGTTTATCTATAACTTCACCAACTCACTCAGACCACGACAAACAAACCTTTAAACAACACAGAGAACTGTCTCTTGGATTAAATTGTTTAGTTTTGACTCACAACATATCCTTGTCTTTCAGCTAGTAAGAAAGAAAGAAAGAAAGAAAACAATCCTTTTTATAGCACCTCTCAAGGTAAAAACAAAAACACAAAAACAAATAAAAAAATGTAAGTATAAAAAAGATTTCAATTACTTACTATGATTAAAATAAGATAAAAAATAAAAGTGTGTTTCATTCAGCAAGAAAAACAAACTTTTCTTTAAATGTCCAAGTGTTCATCTTTTAACTGTCTCTGGAAATCTGTTGTTTTTAGCCCCTAACTTTGAATGCTTTAAAACTTGTTTGGTTTAAACAACAACAGGTTTCCACCTATCAGGATTTAGGGTTAGTTTGGACTTGTACTGATCTTTTTAACTTTCTTTGGGGTTCTGGGGAGAATGTCTTTCTCTCAAAATTGGACTGATTCTTCCCAAACAGCATTTTATCTGTAAGTTTCTGTCAGTCCTGTCAGTCTGTCAAACATTTTGGGGAAAATTGTAATAGTAATTAAACAGGACATGTTATGACTTTTTATCTTATCATAGTTATATGGTCGATACAAAACACGTTTATTAGGGTTTTTGGCACAAAAACCCTCTCACATAAACAGTCTCAGCAGTTTTATTCTTGATTTTCAGTACCTTCCAGTATGCCTGGCATGCTTTAGGAAAGCAAACTGTAGCTGGGCACACCCATCCCTGCTCAGGCTTTTATAAGCTGAGAAGCTCTGATATCCAAGAGCTGAGCTGCTGCTCCTCCAGCAGAAGCTTTCTGCTTCATGTGAGAGGTGGCTCTATTTGATGTTCCCCCATTTGTGACATCACAAACAAGGCCTTTTTTGAAAGCATTTGTTTTGTACACGTCATTCTTAAAACCAAACACTGACAGAAAACAGATGAGTGGAATATTTCATGTTTGGCGTGTTTAGAGTGATAGAGGCAGCATAGACATGGCAGCACAAAAGAAACCAGAATACAAGTTTTGCATATTATGTCCCCTTAAAAATTCTTAGTAATGAAACCTGAAACTGGAGCTTTTCTTGAGTCAATGTAAGTACAGTCAGATATACAGTAGCTGCGGGATTGACCTCAGAGTCATCCAAGTTCTTCTGTGTTTTCATCCACATATTTCACACTTGGATCATATGAAAGAGCACACTGTACTTTTGATTGATTTATATGTTTACCAAACCTCCTCCTATGGCTGTAAAACATCCTGATGACCCCTTGTTTACCATTTCTGCAAAACATATACATATATTCATGTTTCCTCCTTCTTTCCCAAGGCCAGTTTGACATTTTCAGTCAGGACTGTCAGTAAAGACTGACAAGTCTTACTTTTTACTAGAGGGTTTGTTGAAAATGTTCCCCCAATGCAAGCCTGAGCAGATCCAGTGGGAGTGTCAGAGTAAGCAAAGTTGAAGACACATCCAGTATGCATGAGAAAACCCTTCAAAAATCACTTTGGAACTTACTGTTGCATGATTTCTAAAGTTGGAGCAGACCTGACAGAAGTGCCTGAACCTTTCAGGTATTTGTGTGTTCGTCACTGACAGTTACAACTTAAATGACCCTGCTAGGACTTTGATGTTCAGCTGCATAAGCACAGCATTAGCTCTGGATCTACACGCCTCCACAAGCCCTGTCCTCCTCCCATTATCTGCTGCGCTGTTTGTCCACACCCTGGGGCCAATAGACCATAGGATTAAAGAAAGACTGGGCCAGTTGTATTCAGAGAGAGAGAGACGTCACACAAAGAAGCAAGGCAGTAGGTGTTGAAAAAGCTCCAGTGTGTGTGTTTTTATGCAGGTGTATTTGATATTTGGTTATGCACATAGGCACAGGATGTAAGCAGTTTTATCCTCCTGTGTTTCTTTATATCCTCAGTATTCACTAAAACCAAGTATTTTCTTTATTTTAATGTAAGTACAGGTACACTCTAAGAAATAAAAAGTGAAATTTACTTGACCAAGTTGTGTCAACTGTTTCCAACTAAACTTAACTGCTTAAATATACAGAGTAATGTACATTGTTGCATGGTGTTTTGTTAAAAGTAAATGCAAAATGAACATTCATTTTCTTAGAGCGTGTGTCCCAAATATGAAGTGAAGAGCTCATGAAGTTTGATCTTAACCTGCAAAGTGCATTAGCTTCTAACTCTAAGTCTCCCAAATAAGCATCAATTCAGGATCACTGACATTCCACCCAAGAGTGAAGTAGCTTGAGACCATAGTTCTCAGTTAGAAAAATAAGGAAGACTAATTGAAGCATGTTAGTTTCTGGTTCACAAGTGATTATAGGATAGAGTCAGAGATGGATTGATTAACTGGGACATTGTCTGAAGTGATGAAGGTGCTGCTTCAAGAAGATAAAACTCTTAACTTACTTGTCCATCTATTCCACCCTTACAAGAGTAGGTGCTGGAGGCAGCTAAAGGAAGCTTTTTCTGTAGTGTGGCCCAGCAGACTCTGTGAGAAAGCAAAGATCTTGTGATAGTGCTGCTGCTGCTGCACCAGGCTAAACACCAAAGGTGGCAGATCATTTGCTGCTGTGGCCCCCCGGACTCTGGAACGCTCCTCCCTGAGCCTGAGATCAGTGGACTCAGTGGTCTCCTTTAAGGATCAGCTGGAAACTCACTTGTTCAGGCTGACTTTGGTGTAAATTGATCTTCATCCTCTTTTTACTCACAAACTTCTTTTCAAGCTGGAGTTCCAGTCAATTCTGTATATTTTAGGACTCCATTTTTTCTGTCATTCTTAATTTTGAAGGTAAACTTTAGTCATTTTTTGATACATTTGCAGTGGTCTTTAGGAGGAATGAGTGCCTTGTATGTTCTCTGGGGGAAATAAGTATATTATGCACCTGTTAGAGGATGTAGAAAACACAGACATCACATATGTAGATGCCCTGTGGACTGGCGCTGCCTACTGGAGATGTTGTAGTGACTGGCCGCCATCTTGGGTGGGTCTCCATTTGCCCCCAAACATTAATTTCTACTTAGGAAGGTGCTTACATAGCTAACAAAATAACATTTTATTGAGCTTTTTCACCAAATCAGACATATGAAATGGCGTGATAATTAGAATTTAAATATAATTAAATTAAATGATTAAAACAATCTCCAGGTCAGGGATGAGGTCCTGCCTCAAGTGGAGCAGTTGAAGTATCTTGGGGTCTTGTTCACGAGTGAGGGAAAGTTGGAATGCAAGATCAATAGGTGGATTGGTGCTGCATCTGCAGTGATTCAGGCATTCTACCGAGCTATTGTGGTAAAGAGAGAGCTGAGCCGGAAGGCAAAGCTCTTGTTTTACCGGTCGATCCACGTTCCTACCCTCACCTATGGTCCCAAGCTTTAGGTAGTGACCAAAAGAAAAAGATCACATATACAAGAGGCCCAAATTAGTTTTCTCCATTTGGTGGCCAGTTGAGGTGGCTCGAGCATCTAGTCAGGATGCCTCCTGGACCCCTCCCTGGTGAGGTTTTCCAGGCACATCCAACTGGGAGGAGACCCAAATGGAGACCCAGGACATGCCGGAGGGACCACGGCTCTCAGCTGGCCAGGGAATGCCTTGGAATTTCCCCGGAAGAGCTGGCCCAAGTAGCTGAGGAGAGGGAAGTCTGGGCATCTTGGCTTAGGCTCCTTCCCCCAAGACCCAATTGCAGATAAGCGGCTGACAGATGGATGGATGAAAAAAATGTAAACAAAAAAAAATCCCAACAGATAAAGAAAAAATTCCCACATGATGCTTTCAATAGTGTGCTGGTTGTTGCAATTATGGGCTGTACAAAAACCGGGCATAGTTGCTCACACTGCATTGACTCCAGATTAGTTAGAAGAGTGAGGGACCCATCCAATATGGTAGAGATGCTGTAATGCACTCCAGCAGCCAATGGGGCGTCTACGTATTCATGTCTATGGGAGAAAGTAGCTTTTGATGACAAAATTTGGACTTTTTCCCCCTGATATTTGGACATTTTTGTAACAGCAAGGCGACTATACCACTGACTCATGAAGGAGTTCTGCCATGGGGTGGATGTGCTAATGCTAACATTTAGCTTCTACTAGTTGGATGCTAAACCAGCAACAGCCTGCATGTTAAACTCCGAGTGACTAATAATTTTCAAAAACAATAAGTAAAAAACTGTTTCTCAGTGAGCCTGCTCTTTAATCTTCATTTTCATAAATTTTTTTAATGTTTTCATGATTTGATCACTTTTATCTAGAAAGACACTTTAAAATAATCTTCTTTCATCCTCCTCATGGTCATTTAAGGTGCTTTGGCCATCTGTTTACTCTTGGTCTGGTCCTTTTGACAGGAAACAGTGAGACAAACAAAACGTTCATTAGAGGGATTTTCTGTCTGTCCTGGATTCTTAAAGAGGGGCTAAGAAGTGCTACTGGGGAGGTTCTGGATTTGTATAAAATTTAGGAAATGTGATTCAGGTTGTGTTGGAATGACTGCACTTCA